TGTGAAACGGCTGTCGAGGGCAGGGCCCCCGGCAAGAGCGGTGCAGGGAGCAGCTGTTGGGGCCAGCCTTTTAACCCTGAGCTTTAAAACTCGTGCGTTGTTGGGGCACCTGGGTGGTACAGTCAGTTACGCATCTGACTCCTGATTTTGGCTCATCATGACCTCGGGGTTGTGAGATCAAGCCCGGCGTTGGGCTCCACGCTGGTCGTGGAGCCCCTTAGGTTCTCTCGCTGCCCTTCCCCCACCTCTCTAAAAACAAAAACACTTGTGTAGTTACTTTAGGAAAAAAATTAAAAAATGAAAACAAACACCAAGCAGTGCTTACGTGTATGTTAAAGCAACCGGAGGAAGGAAGCCCTCTATTTCATTTAGACTTCTTTTTTTAAAAGATTTTATTTATTTATTTGACAGAGATCACAAGTAGGCAGAGAGGCAGGCAGACAGAGAGGGAGAACCAGGCTCACCGCAGAGCAGAGAGCCCGATGCAGGACTCGATCCCAGGACCCTGAGATCATGAGCTGAGCCAAAGGCAGAGGCTTAACCCACTGAGCCACCCAGGCGCCCCTCATTTAGACTTAATATTTTTTATCTCCTCCATTAACTTTCAAAGGGGTATGGCAATTTGGAACAGAGACGGCACAGGAGTGAAGGGGATTTGGGGACGCTTTGCCCGTAAGTCTTCGTGATGGTTGACAACCAAGTCAAGGTTTCAAAGGGGCACGAAAGTGGGGAGTTTGACTTTAAGAAATGTGTTCCGCGGGGACAGCCATGGGCATGGAATACGGTTTACAGAGCCTCTAGTCGAAGTCAGCATTAAAAGCCCAAGTCTGGTTTTAACAAAGAACATGTTGTTCAAAGAAAGTTAAAGTCTTATTTTAATTCCATACGATCATCTGAAGGTTTTGCTGACGGGGGCCGCAGGTCGAAAACAGTGTTGCGTAACCAGGACACAATGGCTCGGCTGCCAAGCCTGAGACACGTGACCTTCCCCTGACTCACTCGGCTCCATTTTTAATTACACTTGCAAGAAAAGAACTAGTTTTCTGCTGCAGTTGCATAATTGATCTGAAAAAAATATTGGAATGAAGAATCGCTTTTAAACACAGTCATTATGTGTAACCCCGTAAAACCAAAACAGGCCCCTGCCCCGTGAAGGTTAGAGGAGAATATACTTTGTTGTCTTCTTGGTAGTAATTTCAATGACACAGATCTACTCTTTGTTGGAAAAAAAAAACAAGAAGTACATGGTTCCTAGAAGTGGCAAGAGGCTAGAGAACAGACAGTGGGTGAGACAGGACGTCTGGGCGGTCTCTGGCTTCATCTACAAGATGAAAGGCAACAGGCTGTCCCAGGAACTTCTATCCAAATATCTCTTCCCAAGTCCAGGTTAGTTCCTTGAGGAACAACACGGTTATGGTTCAACAGAGGTGAGAGGGCGCCTCCCACAGCGGCACATTCCCTCTGCATAGATCACAGGTCCCCGCGCTGGGCCAGTCTCTTAGCCCAAGAACAGGAAATACTTCGAAGGCCAATACTCTGCCAGCAGGGGAAAATGGTCCCTAGAAGAGGAGAGAAAACTGTGAGCTACTGACTCCTGTCTGGGAGTAAAAGTGAGACTTTCCTACAAGGCCCTGCAAGACCAGACACCCAGACACCTCCAACCCTCCCCAGAAAGCCGCCTTGGTCACCCACCTCCCCCGCTCCCCCTGCCAGGATGCGCCGCAGACTTGGCGTGACTTCCTCTCTTCCCTTAGGATGCGGGCCCATTCCTGACCACCCTGATCTGAAGCGGCAACTCCACACCCGGCTCCATCCTGGCCCCGTTTTCCTTTCCTCCAGAGCACACCCCATGCTTCTCCCCTTCCCTCGTGACCTCTCGGAGGGCGGGGAGTTGCCCGTGCCTGGCTCCCCAGCCCAGCCTAACGTGCCAGGGGTCGGTGCTCAGTTAAGCATGTTGAATGCATCAGAGAGCAGTCGAGGTTCCCAAACCCGGGGACATTTAGTACTCCACGTAAAACGACACTTGGAGATTGTAACTCTCTTTTTCCAATCCAACAGCACCTTTCGAGCGGACGAGGATCGGCAGCCTGATCCACAGGGGCTCTGCACAGATCTTGTTCCGTGTTGCCGCGTACCTTTCAAGGGCAAGTGCAAGCGACGTCCTCCCGAGAGGCGCTTCTAAACCCTTACCATAGCGTCTGAGGCCTTGAGGACTGGTATGCGTTGCACGCAAGTCTTTACCAAGAAAGATCTCTCACACCGCCTAGAACTGGTCCCCCGGAGTGAGTGTGGACGGAAAGTTGCGTTAGGACATGCTCTCGTGCTCTTCTCCCCAAGTGCGTGTCCCGCGCCTGGGCGAGGGCTTGGCTCGTCCACGACATGACGAATGCTTCCCAGGAGTTGTGTGCAATGGGGACCTCCTGGCAGAGTCCTAACAAGGAGCCCAACCCTGCAGATTAAACTTCTGCAGAACTTTCTGGTGAAATAAGGGCTTGGCGAAATTAAAAACTAAAATTGGACCAAGTTACAAAAGCGAACAGGGTGGCGCATCAGAACTGCGTCCTCTAGTGGACAAAGAGAGAAGTTCAAAACCATGCAGCAGGCTGTTTTCTTAGTCCCTTTTCTGCGACAGGCCTTTTGTGTTCCATGTTTTAACATTAAAAAACATTGCTTCTTATGGGCTGTGCATTTCATTACCCACTGCTATTATTAAAAGGCCCAGCTCTTTGAAAAGACTGGACTCCGGCCGGCCTCAACCCTCTCTTACATAATCCAGAGGAACAAAACCCAGAAACGCTGAAGCCTGTCCACGTCATATGGGCAGCCTATTTTAGCTACTTTGGGGTAAGCAAGTTCTTTGGGGTAAGCAAGTACACCATCGCCGCGCCCAGGCCAGCTGGAACCGAGTGACCGAGCAGGGGACAGCTGGGGAATATTCTCAGGTAGGGCCTCAGCCAAATGCAATTCTGAGCCCCTCCTGTGGGTTCCGGGCTTCCCTCCCATCACCGACAGAGCCGCGCACGCCGCACCAAGGTGCAGGATGGATGGAGGCTGTCGTCTTGGGGTGCGGCCCCAGAGGAAAGGGGCAGAGGTTCAGTGAAGCACCCACACTGGGGAAGCATCTGGAGGGGTGAGGAGGGGAGGGGCTGCCAGGGAAGACTGCGGGATCTCAGCCCACACCCCTCTGAATCAGAGCGGCTGTCTTCGTCCGTCCTTCTATTCTCCGCAGGCTCTCCTGCCCTGCGAGGTCTCAGACCGAGCCCCATGGACGCACGGGGGACACGCGGGCACCCTCCTCTGTTGACGCTAACAGCAAACGAGAATGAGAGGCCCCTGTACACCACAGCTGACCCCACCAACATAAAGCACTCCTGTGCCATCATTTTCCGTGCTAGAAACACGACGTTCCTGTGGGGGTGCGGGGGGCGGGGAGCTAATGCTTCTGATTCATCTATCGAACCAAAGGTTGAAGAACCTCACTGAGTCAGTCTACAGACAGAGCCCCACCGCTGCTCCATGACACACCGAGGCCACGAGGCCCCGTCCACAGCTGCTGCGCCCGAGTGGACGTTCACATGCCAGAGAGACACCCAGGAACAAGGCAGTGAGCGGGATCCAACCTATTTCTTCCAGAAATACTAGTATGTATGATTTCCCCCAGGACACGTACCCCAACACGATGTTAATTTGGGCAATTATCACGCTTCCTCTAAGGTCCCCCATGCAGAGGAGGGCAGGGCCCGCCCTAGAGTTATGTGGTCTCGTGAGTGGCCCAATCGTGAACATGAACCCGGTGAAAAAGCCAAGAGGCTATAGCAAACCTGCCCGAGCTCCCACACCTGGGAGCAGGCAGGACCCTCCTGCGACAGACGGCACCTTGTCTGCCAGGACCTGCTGCACGCCAGCGCTCTGGAAGCTCGTGGCCGGAAACACCATGAAACGCCCTGAAAATCCGAGAATGGGCAACAGCCAGTCCGTGGGTCTGCCGTGCTCCTGAGCACGTCACACGACTTGCTGACTCCTCACAGGTGCCCACCTTTGGGAGTCACCGTCCCTGTGGTCCCCATTTTACTAAGAAACAGGGAAGCGACCAGCCTAACGTGACACAGTGGGCCAGGCTCGGAGCCGGGATGGGAAAGGCCCGCTAACGCTCGAGCTGCCGACAGAGCGGGTACTTCTGCCCTTCGGGCTGACAGGCCGGCTGCCGTCCCCCGGGGGGCCATGCCTCCTCTCCACAGTGACGGGCTCTCAGACAGGGGTCTGTGACAAAGCCCACCAACGGCTTCCCTGGCAAGGTCTGAAGTTACGTTCTTGGCTCTGCAGGACTCGTGGGGCAGCCCCTCCCGGAGTTGGGCTGGACCAGAAGAGGGTTGAGCCAGAGGATGCTGAGGCAAGAGATTCACTAAGTACGGCAAAAACAGACACAAGCGAGGACGACAGGCAGGAACTCTGGGTGTGGCACTAGGTCTGAAGGTCAGGATAACCGTCCCAGACTACGTAAAACACGTACAGGTCGTACCTGTCACGTAAAGACAGCAGGAAATAGAGGAAAGGCTTCTCCTTTCCTCACATCGATACGTGGTGAGCATTCAGAGAGAGGAAGGCCGGGAGAATTCTCCGTGGGGGACGGCACCCGCACGGGGCTCGAGACCCAGGTGAGGAAGCAGAGGTGGGCAGCGCCCAGCAGCTACCGGCGACCAGTTCTGAGGCCAGCAGCCACTTTCTGGAAAACTCTATCCAAAGTGAAGTCTGCACAAGGTGAACACGACCCTAAACTACACTCGCCACCCCTTCCTCCTAGATCACGGAGACCGAGGTCACCTCCCTCCACATGCCCCCCGCTTCTAGACAGCCCCAGCGCCCACACGTCCTACAGAGAAGCGCGAACAGCTCAATCTCCTCAGCTGGGAACCGTGCCGCCAACTGTGCACCTCAGCAGCAGAGGTGACACACTGCGCGCAAGGTCGGTGGGGACCAAGACCATAAAGTGCACGAAAAAGTCTCCTTGGGGATGGACCCCTTTTATTTGTATCCATACAAAACAGGGTCTTCAGCAGGTCGGCATTCAGAAGCTACATGGCTGAGTAAATGAAACCCAAGGAAGCTGGAAAGTTCCAAGCCCCCAACAATTACACTTCAGGTACACGGAAGCATTCACCCCGCACACAGATCTTCCCGTGAACTCACCTGCAAAGAAAGTACACTCCGTCAGTTTTCATTCTACCTTCGTAAGTCTGTTAGCACCATCAAACACCCCCCGAGATCTTACCACCCAGAATATACCGCGGAAGGTGCCCTGCAGTGACCCTGCGTCTACCGGCCCCTCCTCCTTTCAGGTCTGCAGGCTCCATGCAGGGCTGGCCACCTCCCCGGCCGGTGGAGGCAACCACAGGGACTTCCTACCCACCCCGTCCCTCTCCGGCTATCATCTGCACAGCACCTGGGGCCCGCCTCAGACACCTGCCTGCATGGAAGCCGCAATGAAGCTGGGCTCTGACAACGCCGCGAAACCCCACCCCAGCCTCTGCGTTCCTACATTCTCTTCCCTGCCCGCAGCCACATGCTTCCCCAGATTGGCCCCGACTCACGAGCTGCCCACATCCTCAGGCACGTCCACCCCTCCTGCCCTTTGCCACGTGTCATCAGCAGGAAACAGCCTTTATGTCCCCACGGGGTCACATGCCATTATGTCCTATTGGCTATGTCCCTTCCTGTGGCTCCACAGCACTTACCATGCCCACCTCTCTAGATTCTAAGCCCCCCCCAACACTGTGACTCCTCCCTCCCTCGGCCCCCCGGGTCACAGACAGCATGCCTGGGCCACTGCAGGCACTCCTCCATCCCTGTGCTCACGACCACCCAGGAGGCCAAGGGACGGAGTCACTTCGCGAGGAGCACACAGCCTTCCAGCCAAGAGCACAAAGGCACTGGTAGGTGTGAGCTCGTCAGAAAAGCAGAATCCCTCAGCCTTTCCCCGGGAGGGGATGAGGTGCAGGAGACGTGAGTCTCTGTGCGGCTCGATTCCAATAAAGGGGCTCCTGCGTCTCCGATACCCGCTAGACCTGTGCTCTCCAACACCATGGCCACTGGCCACATGGGGTTACATACATTTAAACTAAAATGAAAACCCCAGTCCCCCGGCAACACCAGCCACACTGCCAAGTGTCCGACGGCTACACGTGGCTTGTGGCTGCTCTACGGGACAGGGCAGACCCAGACCATCTCCAACACTGCAGAAGCTCCACGGACGGCACTGTTTTGTACCTAGTGTTCTCGTGCGATTACAGACGTTAGCACCTCATCCTCTTTAAAATCAGAAACGTAGGGGCACCTGGGTGGCTCAGTGGGTTAAAGCCTCTGCCTTCAGCTCGGGTCATGGTCCCGGGGTCCTGGGATCGAGCCCCGCATTGGGCTCTCCCCTCTCTCTCTCTGCCTGCTTCTCCCCTCTCTCTCTCTGCCTGCTTGTCATCTCTGTCAAATAAATAAATAAAATCTTAAAAAAAAAATAAATAAAATCAGAAACGTTTACGACCCAGAATGGCCCCCGCGTGATTAGGAAAGATTGAAATACTCCTGTGAGCCACAGGCCCTGCGTGGTCTGGCCCCTCCCCACTTTTCAGCTTCACCCCACACCATTCCCCTTGCTGCTGGGGTTACAATGGCCTTCCTCCGGGTCCAACACTGGCCACGTCTGCTAGCTCGCTGGGCCTTTGCATGTGTGGCACCCTGGCCTTCCAGAGAACTCCTGCTCGTCCTTCAGAGTCCAGCTCAGGAAGGCCGCCATCTGCTCCTCGTGATGTAGCTGCTAACGAGACCGCGCTTTCCTTCGGGATTTTGGCCTCAGCCTGAATCACACCCTCTGCAGGGCCATCATTTGATCTCATCTCCCCAGCGGGGCAGAAGCGCCCCGAGCACAAGGGCCTGGGCTGTCCCGTCCGTCTCTGCGCGCACGAACATTGGGAATGGCGCATGGCGGAGGTACCCGTCGGTACGCACGAAGTCCACTCTGCTCCGCGGTACCAACTCCAAGGCTCCCCCCGGCGTGCGGCCTGTTTGCAGTATCATACATGATCACCAAACTGCTGCTAGAATGCTCACACCTGTTACTGCAAATTCAAACCCCGGGAGGCACTGCTCCCGGGAATTTTCTCTAGGTCAGGCTCGGGCTGCCTGGTACAAGGCTGCACCCACAGCCGCGCGGGTTCAGCAACGCAGGAGCCTTTCCCCAGACCATCTGCCTCGAGACTCTCCGTCCCGGCGCGTGACCCACGCACCTGGACTCCCGCACCGAGCGCGGAGGGCTCGCCCCGCCCGCGGCCTGCCCGCGTCTCACCGCCGGGGGCTGGAAGTTCTCGTTTTCTGACGAACCCTGGGGAGAGAGAGTCGCACGGCGGGTCCCAGGAACCGGAGGCTCAACCGCGGCCCACGCGCTCCGCAGACCCCCGCTCGCCCCCGGCCCGGCCGCAGCCCCGCCCCGGCGTCGGAGCCTGAGTTCGGCCCAAGCCCCCTCCGCCTCCCCCGTCCGGGGCCCTGCTACCCAGGCTGGGGCCGGTGGCGGCGGAGACCCCCCCCGCGTCACCCAGCGCCAAGACTCCCCTTCCTTACCCACGAGGAAGCGCGCGCCTCCGCTCATTCCACGCCCCCTGCGCCGAAGCCGCGCTGCACACGCACTTCCGGCCGGAAGTGACGACGCACCATAGAGGCGGGGGCCAGAGAGTCGCCCCGGGCTTTGAAACTGGGTCCTCCAAAGTCGTCTTAAAGGGGCTGAAGCCGGCGGGTCCTAGCCAGCTGCGATGGGGCCCCTGCTTTCGAGCTCATCCAAGTTATGACACGTATCGGTGCTTCGCTTTTGGTTAGGGCTGAATGACATCCCACGCTAGAAGACCGGGGTTTTATGTTCCAGTCAAGAGGACTGTGGACGTGCCAAAGGCCCCACCTGGGGCAAATGATGACTTGCTCCAGTCGGCCAAAAGGCAAAAGCCGCCCGCCTTCTGCTTTCCTTCTGGCCTCTCCAGCAGGGATGGCCCGAGCAGCCCGGACAGCGATCGCATGTGTCCTGAGTCTCCTGACAGAGTGTGTGGTCTCGCGGGTACAGGTGACAGAAACCCAGGCCGAGTCGCATTAGAAAGTGCACTTATTCTTTCCTGTGCCCGGTGTCCCCGGGCGGAGCAGCTGCAGGGGCTCAAAAACCCCATCCAGGGATGGGGTCAGGCCTCTGGAACTCTGGCTCCACCCCCGGCCCCGCCCCTCTCCCCTCTGGTGCAGGGGGTGGGGGTGAGGAGGGGCACAGAGGGGACAGCTCCCACAGGAAGTCATCTGCTTGTGTGAGGTCAGAGGTGTAGTAGGTCTGGGAGGAAAAGCACAATTGCTCCCGTGGCTATGCGTGCCCTAGTCCCCGGACCCCGGATGTGTCACCTCACAGTGCAGAAGGGACCCTGCAGATGAGATGAAGCTAGGAACCCCGGAATGGGGATATGGTCCTGGACTGTCCAGGTGGGCCCGACGTCATCACAAGGGTCCTTGTAAGACAGAAGCAGGAGAGTGAGACAGAGAGGAGACATGACCCTGGAAGCTGCTGGACTTGAAGGTGGGGAAAGGGGGCCATGAGCCAAGGAACGCAGCAGCCTCTAGAAGCTGGAAAGAGCAAGGAAAGTCTTCTCCTCCGGAGCCTCCGGCAAGAATCAGCCCTGCAGTCACCTTGATTTGTCACATTTGGCTACAAGGGAGTTTGCAAAACGTACTGTCTTTTACCTGCGTGCTCCTGTTGCCAGAGGGAAAGGGGAGGTGACTCTGGTCTCCGCCTCCTGGTGCTGTGCAGGGTGTTTGGAGGCTGGAGGATGAAAGGGCCAGGTGACAGCTGGTGCCCAGGAAGCGATGCTTTCGGAAATCACAGATGTGCTTCTCTGTGTCCTTCTTTTCAAAAGGTCCCCTCCGAACACCGGGCACATTTGTACCTGTAACAGGAACTCTGAAAATTGGCTGTGATTCACTGATTTGCAAGACCCTCTGTCACTTTGATGTAGCAAACGAGCTCTTAGAGTAGTGGCTTGTCTTACAAGAGTCACGATGGAGGGAGAGGAGCAGTGCCCAGGCTTGGAGTGCTGCCTAGTAGTTCAGAGTGACTCCCACAGCTCATCTTAATGAGGACTCTTCAACGCTCTTCAGTCTGGTGGCTCAGAGAGGCCCAGGAGGACCTGGCTAAGCCCTGTCACCACTCAATGGCTCTCAGTGTCCTTGCTCAGAGGCCAAGGGATGGCAGCAAGCCTGGGGTTCAGCAGACAGGGGCTGCCTTCCGTACCCACCTTAGGAGACTTCCCTTTGGGGCCCAGGGAGTCCTGGGTACTATTTGCCTTTGAACCTGATGCTCCCCAGCACACCCCCTTTCTGAGGAGTGAGCACCCTGCCCCGGATTTGCAGCTCTCCCAGGGCTGAAAACATGTTCTGGAGGCTGAGAGTAGATTTATTTGCTCATTCTGCCTTCTGTGAAAGCAGCCAGTGGGAGCTGGACCCCCTCATGTGCCCAGATTTATGCCCTTGCCAAGCAGATATGGGCAGCCCCACAGCCACCCATCTTGGGATACATGCTTTCCTGCAGCAGCTGGTGCATTAGTTTTAAACCTATTTATTTAGCCGGGCACTCAAAGGGCTTCTGATTACTGCCGCTCTGCGGGGCTGCCGGAACCAATTTCCTGAGGGTGATGGATTTCTTCTCATTTGCTGCTCTCAAGCTGTGCGTTCCTTCTGGGTTTTGGAGGAAAACATTTTCAAAAGATGCCATTTTCCCGGGACCATCCCCCAGGGTGGGGTGGCAGGGGGGTTGTCCTGGGCTGCCACCACCTGGTGCTTTCTGCACAAAAATAGGCAAGTTTCGGGACCCCTCACCCCCCCATCCCCCACCCCCCAGAAGCACTGTGGAAGCCAGGCTGGGCCTGGGTGAGGAGCAGAGAGGAGGGATGGGGCAGAACTGGGGAGGGAAGGGGTGGGGCCCAGAGGTAAGTGGAGAGTGGGAGGGGAGGGGAGGGGAGGGGAGCCGGCCTTCTGCTCCTGTTTGGTTGTCTTCCGGGCAGTGTTTCTTTGGAAGTACAGCAGAATCACCTAAGAGCTTTAAGGAGCCTGACACCAGTGACCGCCCCCCACAAATACTGATTTTGTGGGTCTAGGGTGTGGCCTGGGAATCAGAATGTTTAAAAGCTCCCCGTTCACGGGGCTGCCTGGGTGGCTCCGTTGGTTAAGCGTATGCCTTGGGCTCAGGTCTTGACCAGGGGTCCTTCTCCTGATGACCTTTGTCCGGTTTTGGCTTTAGATAAGATTGGGTGCTCCCCTTTTTTCTTCTGAAACAACTATAGTATTTGTTCATTTTATTTCAAAAGTAAGCTCCATGGCCAACGTGCATCTTGAACCCCAAACTCACTCTCCACAAACGGAGCCAGCCAGATGTCCCTGAAACAAGTATTTTCTTCCCGGTGTTGGAGGAGTGGGAAGCAGAGAAACATGAATACTGATTCAATTTCTTTAATGTTCATTGTTTTATTCAAGTTTTCCTTCCTTAAGTCAGTTTTTGTAATTTACATTTCCTCAGAGAATTCTCCATTTCATCTACATTTTCAAACGTGTTGACATAGAGTTACTCACAGCCTTCATATGTAATTTTAAAAATCTATGAAGTCTGGAGTTAGGTCCCCCTTTCTATTCCTGATACTGTTTGTCTTTTTCCTTGCTTCAGTTGGCTATAGTTGTAAGATTTTATTTGTTTATTTGAGAGAGGGAGAGAGCGTGTGCTCGGGCATTAACATGGCAGGGGGTGGCTTGGGGCAAAAGGAGAGGGAGAAACAGACTCCCCGCGAGCAGGGAGCCTTATGTGGGGCTTAATCCCAGGACCCCAGGATCATGAACTGAGCCACCCAGGAGCTACTGAGATACCAGTTTTGAAGCAAGAAAGTTTTGTTATTGGAAGGGCAGCTGGATGGACCGGAAGGCAGGGGATTGTTCCCAAAGCTGCCTTGCTTGCCTTGCTGAGTCTAGGACGGCTTATATACGTAAGAGGTGGGTAAGGGGGCTCCTGAAAGCTTGAGGGAGGGGGTTCTAGAAACTCTTCCGGACAACGAGGCCCTATTTGGGACCTGGTATGAGCAAATACGTCAAGACGAATGTCACTTCTGGTCCCCATTAGGTTTCTACAACCAGTGCGTAAACAGGGAGTAGGGGTAAAAAGGCAAAGTTAATGACTAACCGTGCATGAGGTTAACAGGTGCATGAAACATAATTAAGTAGGGACCAAAACAGAACGTGGAGCTGAGTTAATATTGCAAATAATACGACTATAGTCCTGCTTACGTTCTCAAGACAGGTCTAGGAGCCAAGCTTCTGGCCCCAGGGATCTATGGGTAACAGCGCCAGAGCAGTTAAGCATTCAAGGTAGAATCCAGATGGTCTGTGCGTCTTTATGTCAATGTCCTCAGCTCTGCTGCGTATTTCAAAATGCTCATAACAAATGTAGGGGGGAAAGGGTAGGAAACAGCTAGGGGGAGCCCCCTGGGTGTGGGTCCCCCAAGGCTCACTCTTGCCCAGTGAGGCTCATCGTGGTAGTAAACAGAGCGGGACAAACTGGGGAGGTTGATTCGACAGATGCTAATCTTGACCTGTAGTGAGTCAGAGCTGCCGGGAGCTCACAGTTGGGAGGCTTTTAATCTTGCAAAACAATTTTGCAGTGACATAAATTGTCTCAATTACGTCCACTTAGAGGGAAAGTGTTTTAACCTCATGTTTCAGGAGGCTGGGTCATAAATGAAAAACACTGGTCTGGACTCCGGCAAATCCAATTTTCAACATTGGGTTCTATTACCCGTGAGCTGGGCTCTCTCGGGCCAGTCACTGAACCTTTCTGTTTCAGTCCGTTCCCCCATGTGTCGTGTGGCACAGTTACGTCTCCCTCACACGTAGGGTTAACAGGAACCCGGGCTTGGAAACCTGCTGTGCCTGGTGCAGCTGAGTTCCCAGGAAGGGGTAGTTTTTATTCCTCTCCGTATGGAAGTATTGTATTTGATTGTATCTGGACTACGACTCAGAAGGATAACATATGTCGGGATTTGAGCCCCGAAGACATCTCGTCAAGTCCAGTATTTCTGACATGTGCTGTTCACGGGTCCTCTCCGTCCACCCCTTCTCAGCATCTTTGATTTTCACTGGAGCTTGACAAGAAAATCGGCTCTGTCTCCGGGTGTTCCACAACATGTCAGCGTCGCGCTGTGATTTGCTACATGTCTTTTCTCCCGGCGTCTTTCTTTCAAAACAGCAGCTACGGGAGTGAGGAGCATGTATGTGTTTTATAAATTCTCGCTGCCTCCTGCCAATGGCTTGGCGAGCTTCCGATTCCGTGATGACGGCGAGAATGGGCCCGCGGTGATGCCCGCACCCATTTATCACCCTCTCCCGAGCCGACGGCCAAGACT